TAAACTATAAAACTTATTTAAGTTATTTATAATAATTATTATAATAACCTCTTTCTACTTTTTAACTTATTAATAAAGGAGATAAATATACCTATATAGATAAAATACTACTATACTACTTTATTAATAATAATATATCTTTTAACTCTATTTCTAAGTTAACCTTTAAGTTCTTTATTAGTTTTATAAACTTAAGGTAGATATTACTATCTATTATAATAATTACTAAGAATTTTAAAGTTAAAGTTTTAACTATTTAGGCTAAAGTTCTTAAGTAAATTATTTTAAGTTTAAAAGTATCTCTAATAATTAATATCTAAATAATATTAAGTTAGAAGTATATTATACTTAATATTATAGCTTATTTTGTAGATAAAAACTAGAACTATTACTATATCCTTCTTAGTACCTTTAGTATTATAAGAAACTATACTATAGAGATTATTATAAATATAATTATTAAAACTCTTAAAAAGTTTCTAAACTTTAAACTTAAATTTAACTATATTTCTATAGATAATATTTCTAATTTTATACTAAATATCTTAGCTAAGTTTTATAGGACTATATTCACTATATTATAACCTAAAGTTATTTATATTTAATACCTCACTTATATTATTAACTTTATAGTTTAAGAACTATATAATTACCTTAAAGTTACCTATATACTTATAATAGGTGACTTTATATAATATATATTAAATATAAATAATAAAGAAGTTATTAAGGCTATTATACTACTATAATAAACCTTAATAAAGTAGGCTACCTCTATTTTATAAAATATAGATTAAGAAGTTTATTTAGATAATAAAACCTCTACTAATTATAGTCTAAATAAGATTTTATTATTAGAAAGTTAAATTAAAAGATATTATACTTTAATACTTACTATAGTAATTACTAAAGTAGAGTATTTTATTCCTAATTTTATATATCTATTATTATTTATAACTTTTTAGGTTTAATACTTTATACTAAAGATTAAATCTAGCTTAATATACTCCTCAGAGTTTCTAGTACTTTAGAAAAATAGTAAAGATAAAGACCTTATAAAGTGCTCTAAATATCTAATTATTAATATAAAGATTTACTAAAACTTAACTATATTAATATTAGTTTATACTCTTAAATTTTAAACTCTAATTAATACTTAGTTTAATAACTATAGTAATAATATCTCTTTTAAACTAGAAGCTAATAAATAGTACTAAATTAAGGTTATCTTTAATATTTCTATATACTTCCTTACTATTATATATATTCTAAACTAAAACTAAGTTATTAATATTACTTATATAATTACTCTTATAAAAATCTATTATAACTATTTAATAAAGTATTTAGAAGTTATTAAGAAGCTTAATATTAATAAGAATAAATATTAGGTTTTATCTTTTTAAAAAATAGTATAAGTAGTAGTAAATAAACTTAAGAAGTATTAGTTACTATAAAAAAAAGATTAATTTCTTTATATATCTTTACTATTCTTATATCTCTTATTTATACTAGATATANAATAGTTTTTAGTATAGATTTTATAATATTTATAAAGCTTATTCTAGCTTATTAATTAATACTACTTAGAAAGAGTTTATTAAAATCTATACTAAAAACTATTATAAGGATAGCTTAGAAAACTTAAAATCTACTCTAAATAAGGTTTATAGATCTATTTATAGTTTAATAGCTTTAATACTCTAAAGTCTTAAAAAATAAATATATTATAACTTTTCTTCTATCTTTATAATAACTTATTATAATAATCCTTATAAAAATTTTATTATAATAATCCTATTATAATAATCTTATTATAATATTATTTTAATTACTTAGCTTATATACTTCTTTAGAACTAAAAATAAATATCTCCTTTAAATAGATTTAATATTATTTATAATTTCCTTAAGAAGTATAAATATTATAATCCCCCTCTTTCTAGAAGTAGTATTAAATTAATATTAAGTTATTATACTAAGTAATTAATCTAAGATTTCTAGAGAAATTTAGAAAAAGATCTAAAATATTATAACCTCTATAGAATAGCTTATAACTATTTTTATATTTTCCTTAATATTATCCTTTTTAAATAAGTATTTAATTTTAGTAGATATATCTATTACTATTTATATTTTAATATAAAACCTAAAATAATTTTCTATTAACTCCTTCTTACTATTTAGAATAAATAATAAGAATAACTTTTATTTTTTAATCTAAAACTTTTTATTTTAAAAAATAATATACTTAAGAAACTTAATAAAGATTATACTATATTAACTTACTAAATATTCTAATATAAAGTTCTTAATATTAAGAGCTTTTATACTATCTTCTATAGATTTATTATTAAGTATACTTAAGNATATTATTAATATTTTAAGTAATAATAATAATAATAATACTTAAGATATTTAAAACTTAATATAACTAAAGTCTTTAGATATAGAACTTATTAAAACTAGTAATTAAGTCTTAAGTTTTAATAATAAACTAAACTAAACTTCTTAAATATTACTCTTAAACCTAAGTATATTATAATAAAATTTATAAATTTATAAATATTCCCCCCTATTATTAAATTAGAGAATAAAAAAGTAATTAAGTAACTAAAAAACTATAAATAAAATAAATTATAATAAATTTCCCTTATTAGAAATTAGTAATATAGTAGAATAATTTAATTTATCTCTTATATAGTTTAGATATTTTAATTTAAGCCTTAACTCCTCTCTAAAGTTATCTTAATATATTATACTTATTAAATAGACCTTTATTTAGAACTTAAATTATAATCCCTACTATACTTATATACTTAGTACCTAAATATTAAAATCTTATTTAATACTTATACTTACCTAGTACCTACCTAGGTACCCTTTTATAACCTATAGACTATATAAGTATATACCTATATAAGTATCTATAAATAGTTTGAAGCCTATCTATAGGGCTACTGCTTGCATAGCGGGGGTCACATGTTAAGATTAGTAGATCCTGATAATTGAGGGTTGCTGCATGGATCTGGACGAGGACTTGACCTTCGCCTGGCATTGGCTTAGGAACTGTTTCTAGTGAGAGGTTCAGGTCGATGCCTTCTTCGGTCAGGCCTCCCTGGATATTCTTTCGGATTCTCCATGCTGCTGCTAGATTTTCGGCCATCTCTCCAGTTTTGCGCGCACAATGAAAAGTAAAACTGTTTGGACAACTTAGAAACCGGGAACTTGGATGTCTTTTATATAGTTGTGGTGCGTTCTTGCCACTCTTCCCATTAAATTCAACTTCGGTATTTTCTTCACATGGAACGGCCCCGCGCCAACTCCATTGGAATGGCTTTCTAAGGCGGATTGCATAATCCAGGTTCCACGGCGAGACAAAAAGAATTTGTGCATTGCGCACGGTTTGCTTGGCTGTGTCGTTACATGACAGCATTTGTGAGTGATATCGTTGACGAATATCGTGATTGAGTCAGCTTCCATCGCCGTGGATTTGTTTTCTGTCTGACTTACTCAGGTGCACAGCTGTCATCAGGTCAATTAAATTACCACTTATTACTCCCCAGTCATACCTGTCACGTGAGAAGAGGCATTTTCTAATTAGTCCAAATACAACCGCGAAAACCGAGTTCGAAGTGATTGCTGACGTCACGGGTCCTCCAATGAAGTTGGACGTTCCATGAAGGCCAATCGTTGGCCGCATGTTCAGGTGCTGATGCAGACTACGCCGCATTCTGCCCAGTCTACGCAGCCTGATCATATAATGCTTCTCATCCCCGCCCGTCTGACTCGAAAGCATCTTCTCTCTTGCATCGGAGCCATTCTAGACAGACAGATGGCGGTTAGGCCATCGTGGAAATCGACACCACAATGGAGGCCGCTGGTCTTGCCTCTAGTATCCTGACATTCATCGACATTTCCTTCAAGATCGTCAAAGGCGCCCATGAGCTCTACAGGTCCGCTTCCGGTTCGACGTCAGAAAACGAGCACATCGCCAACGTTGTCCTGGATCTGGAGAAAGCTTCTGGCTATTTGAGCATCGCTCAGTCAGGAAATAACGATCCAGGACTTCAGAGCCTGTTGGTTCAGTGTCAAAGCTTATCATGCGATTTACTCGAGCTTCTGGATAAGCTTCGAGTCAAAGACAAGACTCTCTTCAAAAGCTTTGCTGCTGCCTTTGCAAATGCTCGCAAGCAAAAGGACATTGCCTCGATCGAACATCGTCTGGATCGATACAGGCAGCAGGTTTTGCTTCGTCTCAGCCTTCTTTTCTGGTATGTGGTACTCCCTACATGGCTCTGATAAAGAGTATGCAGCAACTAACAATGGTTTCAGTCAAAGTCAAGCACCGATTCGCGCGCAGCTCGAGGCTATCCGAAAAGAAAGCAACCGATTCGAGAATAAGCATGCGTCGGAATTGGAAAGGATGCACGCCAAATTGGAAGAGATTATAAAAGCTTTGAGGAGCCAGCAAACCGATGCAAGGCCGGATGCCACCCGTGACCCGACAGAAGAGTCGGGTCAGATCCCCAATGTTCTCAAATCTCGTGAAACAGGGATAGATTCAAGAGCATTCGATATAACTGTGGGAGGTGAGGCATTCCGGCTAATCTCCCAAAGACTAGATGTATCGGGCGGCCTTGCGGATCTTGCCAACATCTTGAGCGGGCTGAAGCCGTTGTTTGATGCTATACAGAACGAGAACAGCATCCTCAGCTTCTTATACTTTGATGAAATGTTTCGTAGAGAGGATACTGTACGAGACGCATCAGCTGAGACCTTTGCCTGGATGGCACAAAAGCCCAACCCTTCAGATGTCGAACTCAAACCGGATGGCAGTTCGTCGGATGGCGAATCAAGAAGTCAGGGGGCTGCTAGCGACGAAACAGACTCAGGCTCGAGGCAAAGCTACAGTTCCGAGAATAGCAATGTCGAAATCAGCAACGCGGACACCTTCACACGCCAAGAGCGTCGAAGAAAGCTCGAAGAAGAAAATTTGCAAAGACTAGTGACCTCGGAGAACTTTCTGTCTTTCTTGACTGCCGTCGGAGGCGGTTCGTACTTCATCACAGGAAAGGCAGGCTCCGGAAAATCAACACTCATGAAGTTTCTGGCCAATCACCAACAGGTAGCCAAAGATTTAGCAAATTGGGCAAGCGGAAGAAAGCTCGTTCAAGTTAGTATGTTCTTCTGGAATTCCGGCACTACGCTACAGAAATCATTGGAAGGCTTTTATCGCACCATCTTGTTTCATACCTTGCGACAGAGCCCTGAGCTTATCGAGGATATCTTCCCTACGTTTACGTGCACCAATTTGACCGAGTCGAACAAAAAGAGACCTTCGAGTCTCATTCAAGCCTTTGATCGATTAGCTCGAGTCGGAGCGTTTTCAACTCATGCTTTCTGCTTCTTTATCGACGGCCTTGACGAATATGAAGGTGACACACTGGAACAGAAGGACCTTGCCATGAAACTATTTTCATGGTCGCGGGCCGACAATGTCAAAACCGTGTGTTCGGGTAGGCCCTATACGGCATTTATAGATGTCTTCCGATCGAACAATCTTTTCGTCAGACTGGATCATCTCACTCGGGCAGACATTCTGAGATTCGCCATCTCCCAATTTGAGGATAATCTGAAAGAAGCAACATTTGATTGCGTTCGATCCGCCTGTATCGAACAGGCGGGAAAGATCGTGGACAAAGCAGAAGGAGTCTTTCTCTGGGCAAGCCTCGTTGTGAGGTCCTTGCTCAATGCTGCCTTGGAATACGAGGACGAAGCCCATCTTGTCCAACTGCTGAATGAGTCTCCTACGGACCTCAATGGCCTCTTCCGGAAAATGTTGGGTAGCATTCACAATTCGGAGTCGCTGAGGCTAAGATCGAATTTCATTTTCGATCTGGCTGTTCAATGGTGGACAGAATATGACGGGGTCAACGCTCTCACCCTCACGTGGCTCTCTGAGTTCAACTGGTTTCAGACTAGTTCCGAGTTTCCGTTCAACGCACGCAAACTTCCGTATAATGAAGAAGAAGTAAACAGAAGAGTCTCTGTTGCACATCAACAACTTCATTTGCTGACACGCGGGTTACTGGAAGTTGACAAGTCTAGAGAAAACTTTTACACACCCTTCTTCGTGTCTAGAATCGGATTTTTCCATCGAAGTGTCAAAGACTTCCTTGAGACCGAGTGGCTGCCCAAGTTGGATTTTAGGCCTCTGGAATCGATCCAAGTTCAAGCAGAAGTATTCTGTCGGCTTAAATCTGCCGAGGTGAAGTTCGCTCCACAGGCCACCCTTCAGACATCAAACTCCGCTTACGATATCATCAACATGTATATGAGGCTCCTTAGCACGTTGTCAACATTCAGAGTGCACTACGGCTACCAGGTGCCTCTGAAATACATAGAAGACATCGAAAAGAGTGGCTGTGGCGAGGTGGCTGAGAACGAGACTGTTTTCTCCACTCCTTCGAATGCCAGTGGTCCGTTGATACCAACCTGGACAGCATGTGCCATGATTCAGAGGGCCCAAATGGTTGAATCGATGGAAGCTGATACACGTGTCCGAATGTCATTTTTGCATATGGCGACAGTATATGGCGAAGAAAACTATGTTCGCTGGCGCATAGCCTCGTCGAATTCGGATCCGGTTTCAACAATTGACGCCTCTGACACCAGTATTCTACTGGCAGCATATGTCTCGGGAAAGACTGATCTTGTACAGTGGCTACACAAGAAAGGTCTTCACCCAGGTAATTTTATTATGTGTGTCGGTCTTTCAAGCAGCCAAGACCGATACAGAATTTCTATCTGGGAAGCCTATTTAGTCAGGCTTGCATCTCGCGTCGCAGAACCCGATTCCAGATGGGTGGATCACATGGATCCGAAGTCGGTATTGGAGAGACTATACCAGGTCTTTGAATTAGCTCTTCAAGTTGGAGCTGATCCATCGATAAGAATTATTGTTGATCTCAGGAGAGAAGAGTCGCGCGACACCTATGCATATAACGAATCTGGCATCATCTCCAGTCACCACGTCGGGTTAAGTCAGCTGGTTACGATTCACAAACCTAAGAACGAGGTGACGTTATTGAGATTGCTCGCGGAAAAACGTTCGTTCAGTCGTTTCTTCAAAAGAAAGTCATTTAGAGAGATCGCAAGGACATCAAACCCCTCCGTGGATAACAGACCTCTCAATATTGCCTCCTTTCCTACAATTGACACGGACGAGCTAGCTAGGAGCTTCTGGAGTGTAAGTGGTGTTATTTCAAGAAACGGTGATAGAGTTTTGAGAGACTTTAGGATAAGAGACTTCTGATTGATTAAGTTGTAGCTCTTCTATAACTGACGGTATCCTAGGTCCCCTAGAAAACTTGACCCTTTGTCTGGTGCACCTTGGACACGTTGACATTCTTCCACAAGAACACACAAGCCAGCGCCAACGGCATAAATGCTGCACCGCAGATAACCATGTGTCTCTGAACCGCTCCATAAGCCTGGATAATTCCAGCCCTAATCGGGCTTCCCCAAGCATATGAAAGCTGAACTTTGATATCTCCGTAGATTGTGACAGCTTCGCTCTTAGCATCATCAGGCAAGAACTTGATAAGCTTGTCCAAGAATTCATTGGTCCAGATGGCGCCAGAAATAGCACGTCCAATAGAGCGACCTACTGAAGTAGCGAGGCCGATCAAGGCCAACATCACTGAAATCTCGTTGTGCTTGATCACGGACATAACCGCGAGTTGTTCGCAGATGATGATGGTTCCAGCAGAGACAGCCTTCAGGATTTGGCACATGATAACGTAGCCAATGTAGGTATCCGGGGTGCGGAAGTGGATAAGAAGACCGGTGGAAAGGCAGGCAACGGGAATGGCAGCCATGGCAATCCACTTGTAATGGTTGGTCTGGCGGATGAGGCTAGTGGGTGTCAGATTTGTGCTCTTCAACGGGAGATGTGAAGGAACTTACAGTCCCACGATGGGTCCCCACGTGCAGGACGCAATAGTGTAGATGTTGCCGATAAAACCCGCCTGGCTGATACTCTGGTTGTGAACAACCTGGAGGTAAGATGAGAAGTAAGACTCCCAAGAGCTGAAGCTCAGAGCAATGACACCAGCAGTGGCGGCAGAGCCCAGGATGGTTCGATCCTTGAGGTTCTTCCAGGGGACCAGAGGTGTATCGGCGTACATTCTCTCCCAGAGTCCGAAGAGAACTAAGCAAAAGACTCCGAGGATGATCATAGCAATAATGTGGCCAGAGACCCATCCCTTGGCCGCATACCGAACCAAACTGAAAGGCAGTAGGAAAAGAGAGAAACCAAACATGATCAGCAGCATGCCCACGACTAGTCTCCAGTAAGCATCAACGATAACATTACATGAATGATGGAAACTAACCGTCAAACTCCTTGAAGTAGAACACCAACGACTCTTGAACGCTGCGGCCGCTCTTTGTCAACTCAGGACCTTTGCCGATCTTGTAGGCCTTGCGCAGATTCCACCAAAGCATGCCAGTGATGAGCATTCCGAAGGCGGGGAAGATGATGGCGAAGGCTCCAAATGCCCAACGGAAGCTGCTCTTCTCGATAAACAGCTGAGCAACGACGGGACCGGCGAACGCGTTCGCAATGTAGGCGGTTGAGTTGAGGGTGTAGATAATCATACGGTTACGAATGGAAGTCGTGTCAGAGATGATGACAGTGTGGATGTAGCCAATGCCTCCGCTTCCAACAGTCCAAAAGACCTTGAACATATTAGCCCAGTACTGGAAGCAGTTAAAATCTGGATGCAAGTGCATCTTACCTGTGCAGCGGCGTACGTCTCGACGTTGCGGCAAACGGCCATCAGAATCAGACCAAAGCAGCAAAGAGCATGGGCCAGAATGTAGGCCTCCATGCGACCAAAGACGTTGAGAATCTTTGCGAATGGCAATTGAGAAACACCGCCAGCGATTGAGGCGACGATACCCGTGGTGGCAGTGAGACCATGACGTTGGAACGATGATGTTACATAGGGGGCAAGATTGCTGTTCATCTGTTGCTGCATGGAATGCGTGTAGGAGGTGATCCAGATGCTACAATCATGTCATTGTGTTAGTGATGTCCATTGCATTGGTAAGGTAGTTTGAGGAAACCCACAAGACATAAGTGAGAATCAGGGCTCTCCACGACCATGCGGAAGTAATGGCCTGGATCTTCTTGACACCATTCTGAGGTTCCGTTTTCTCATCTTCAGCGTCAGAATTGTCGGCACTGATCTCCGTTGTTGTCTTGCCAGGACTCTTTTCGTCAATACTCTGGCTTTGGCTGTGGTTCTCAGCCGGAGCTGACTGGACTGCGGGCGCGCTCATGGTGATGGGCAGCTGCGGCTGGCGCCAAGGGAAGGGTCTCGGCTTGGGAGCTTAGGATGAACGGTGATCCATAAGACATAACCCATGAAAGCATGGACGAAGGAGCACTATCTATATGTAAGCATACACAAGGTTAAGCTACGGCCCAATTTTCGTCCAAAAAGAAGCTTATACGAAGGTTCATGCATGTTTTACGTAACATTCCTCAACCGCGCCAATATGTCACGGAATATGTGAACCGAACGAGAAGGACCGCGCGAGGTTCTGGACTGACCAGCTCCATCTAGCCGGCATCGGACGAGCCGCAGGGATAAATCAGTGGCACAGCAAAGAAAAATGTTCAACGACTTCATCTAGCCAGGGCTGGGCGGCCTTATTGTCACCAACAAACTTGTGTCAGTTCCGACTTTGCACGAGACAGGTCCACTAAACACCACTTGGCAACGCTGTTCTGTTGGCTAGTCGGGCGAACTCTTCGCCGTGAGAATCGTCCAAGATTTCCGAAAAGGGGAGCTCGTCAGTGAATGGTGGACACCCAACGTCGTATTACCACAGACTGCAGGAATCCCGCGCCGAAGGGTAGCTCGCGCGGGCGTGTAGATCACCAGTCTGACCAACAAGCTTCCATCATGGGGTCACCCGGGACCCTCTTCCTCATCGCATCGCGCCGACTTGGCACAAGCGGTTGGCAACGGATCAGATAAAATTTTGCCTTTTGCTTGGCGCCATGCGGGAGCGGATCTGATAAGATGAAGATGGAGCCTCCAAGGAGAGTCAGTGAGGTGGGGAAGTTCTAACCGAGGCCAACCACTACCTTGCGTCGACGAGTTGCGTTTGCAGCGGGTTTCGATAAATCTTGGGCATTGAGCCTTCAAGAGCTGCCAAGCTTGTCTTTCAGGCTACCATCAATGGTGGTCACTAACGTGGAAGCATACGCTCATTCGTCGAATGAGTCTTGGACGACAAGCTCGAGTCGGCGCCCGTTTGCCCGATTCTTAGCGCTTGTAATTCCATTGCAGCTTTCCCCATAGAATGAGAGGAGTTATCTCCTTTGACTCTTCAGGAAAGGAGCTCGTAGTGTGTGGTTCTCCCAGACTTATAGCCCAGTAGCAGCAGTACAATCCGTTGCGTTAACAGCGTCCGCCCCCCCTTTTTGCTAAAATTACGTATATATAATCCCTATATATATATAAAAGTTTACCTAATACTATATAGATACTTATAATATAGTAATTAACCTATTTTAATAGCTTTAATTAATCTATTCCTATTAAATCTTATTATTTAAAGGTATTATAATACCTCCTAAATACTACTATATAGCTTAATAAGTAGATAATAACCTATCTAAGTATTATTTATTACTTATTACTAATAGTATATAGAAATAATAATATATATAATAACTAGTATAGGATATTACTAGAGATCCTCCTTAATACTCTACTTTACTATTAATTAGAATTATTATACTTACTAAGAAAGCTTATTAGGTTATTACTACTAAGGAAGCTATTAAAGAGGCTACTACTAAGGTTATTATTACTAAAACTAAACTTAAAACTAATAATTTAGTAGCTTTTAAATCTATATTATAAAAAAAGTATATATTTATAGTACCTCTATTATTATAAAAAGCTCTAAAAGTATCTTCTTACTAAAAAGTAATAATAATATAGAGGAAGTAAAAGAAGGATCTACTATATATAATCTAGTTCTAAAATACCTTATTTTTATTAATACTATTATTTTAACTAGATTTAACCCTAATTAACCTAACTCCTTATTAAACTATTTAATTTATAGATAATATACTTATAACCCCTTACTATAGTATTAATAATATATTTATATTATTCTATAATATATTTAAAGAGGAAGATAATATAAGTAATAAGAAACTAACTCTACTATAAATCTAAGTTATCTATAACTTAATACTTAAAAGTAATAGTTTATTTATTCTTAATCTAACTATTAANAACTACAAACTTAACTTAACTTAGTATTACTAATATATTAGATATAAATAGTAAAAACTAAGAAGTAAATAGTAATACCTAATTTAAAATAGAAATAGTTTATTTATATATTCTAAAGAAAGCTAGTATTATTATTATTATTATTTAGAGGAAACTTATTAATATATCTAAATTAATACTAATTTTTATTTAGGTCTATTTATCTACTAAAGAGGTTATTTAGCTAAATATTCTATAAATTAATATTATTCCCTCTCTTAAATAAACTAAAGAGAGAAGTAAAATCTACTTTACTATTAAGTAGTAATATAGTACTATACTAATCTCTAGTAGTATAGTAATTAATATATAAATACCTCAAAAAGGTAGCTAAATAAATATTTTAGCTAATATATAAGAGGTAATTAATTATAAGTTTAATAATCCTATAAATATTAAGTATTAGAAGGAAGGTATATATAAATAACTTCTCTATATATATATTTATTTAGAATACTAGAAATATAAGAATAGTTTAAGTAATAAGAAGTTTAACTAATATTATATATTAAGTTAGAAGTATTATAAGATTAAATCTCACTATATAGAGAAGTAAATAAAAGCTTTTATAATTAGATAGATTAATATTACTAATATAAAACTACTTAAAGAACTACTTAGTAAGATTCTTTATAACTAATTTATAGAGGATTAGAAATACTAAGGTAAGAGAAGTAAGAATATTATTAAAGTTAATAATAATTAGGAGATAATAGTAATAATAGAAGAGAAAGCTAAAAATACTATACTTCTATTATTAAGGTTAAGATCTAGCCTAACTAATACTAATAATAATACTATTATTAATATATATAGTAATATAAAGGTACTAAATTATTATTTTTAATATCCTAACCTATATATATAGCTACTACTACTAGTACTAATACTAGTAGTATATTAGCTATATATAAATATCTTATAGTATTTATTACTAACTCTTTTACTATTAAACCTTCTAAGTACTTATTAACTAAGTATTATACTCCTAATTTATTTATTCTTACTAGTAATACTAAATTTACTCTAAAAAGTTTTAGATTAAGTAGCTAGCTTTATTAAGTAGTTTATATCTATCTATAATAAGTAATATAATATTAATAAAGAGTTTAGAAAGAAGCTATAGAAACTATAATTAATAGATAGTAACTTATAAGTAGTTTATAAATTACTAGATATTTAGTTTACTAAATATAGTTTTATTTAAAATCTTACTAAAGATATTAAGAACTTAATTAAATCTTTTATAAATAATAGTACTTATTATAGAAAGTAGTTTAATACTATCTCTAATATAATATCTCACTCTAAACTTTATTTAAACTATTAAAAGTTAGAGGGAGATATTTATATAAAAATATATATTAGATTACTAAGAAGGATAATAGTAGTACTACTTAAAAACTTTATAGTATTAGTTTTAGATAAGTTAAAGTTATCCTAATATATTAATACCTTAATACTATATTAATCTATTAAGTAAGAGATCTATAATACACTAGTTA